TCTAGTTAACATGTACATTACTTCACACAGTTACCGTTTTTTTTGGTGAGAGTATTTAACATTGACTCTGTGTTTTTAAAGAATACATTATACATGGTGGCTGTAGCTAAAATATAACATTTAAAATTTTAAATTATATGTTAAAATATTTTAAAGAGCAATATCAGCAGTATTAATTATTCCTGTACACCTCTCCCACCTTGTGAAACACACATAACGTGCATACATACACACGGCACTGAAAGGAAGAAAAAGCAAAATTTTAAACATTTTACATTAATTGCTATGGACTGAATTGTGCTTCCTCAAAATTCATATGTTGAAGCCCTACCTCCTGTTGGGACTGTATTTGGAGACTGGACCTTTTAGAAGTATAATCCCAGCACTTTGGGAGGCCGAGGCGGGTGGATCACAAGGTCAAGAGATCGAGACCATCCTGGTCAACACGGTGAAACCCCGTCTCTACTAAAAATACAAAAAATTAGCTGGGCATGGTGGTGCATGCCTGTAATCCCAGCTACTCAGGAGGCTGAGGCAGGAGAATTGCCTGAACCCAGGAGGCGGAGGTTGCGGTGAGCCGAGATCGCGCCATTGCACTCCAGCCTGGGTAACAAGAGCGAAACTCCGTCTCCAAAAAAAAAAAAAAAAAAAAAAGAAGTAATTGTGGCCTCGCCCTTATAATGTCATTTGACTGTAATTGCCTCCTAAGAGAGGCAGCATATCTTGTCCACCTGCTCCTCACACGTGGACACGGCGAAAGGCAGCCATCTGCCAACTGTGAAGAGAGCCCTCACCGGTACTAGACCATGATGGCATCTTGATCTTGGATTCCAGTCTCCAGAACTGTGAGAAAATAAATTTCTGTTGTTTAAGTTACCCAGTGTGTGGTCTTTTGTGATGACAGCTTGAGCAGACCGATAACTCAATGTATCAGTTTTCTATGGCTGCCATCACAAATTACCACAAATTCAGGGACTTAAAACACCACACATTTATTATATGACACTCCTGAAGGCCTCACTGGGTTAACATCAAGTGTCAGCAGGGCCGTATGTCTTTCTAGAGGCTCAGGCAAACAACTCACTTCCCCGCCTTTCCCACCTTCTAGAAACACTGCATTCCTTGGCTCATGGTCCCCTTCCTCCACCTTCAAAGCCAGCAACAACCAGTCTCTCCTGCCCTGACCCCATCCTCATGCCTCTCTGTGACCACAGAGGGAAAGGTTCTGCCCTTGTACCCACTCACGTACCTAGATGGGCTCACCCTGATAATCTAGGATGATTTTCCAATTTCAAGGGCCATACTTGTGATGGTTAATATTCAGTGTCAACATGATTGGGTTGAAGGATGCAAATACAGTTCCTGGGTGTGTCTGTGAGGGTGTTGCCAAAGGAGATTAACATTTGAGTCAGTGGAGTGGGAGAGGCAGACCCACCCTCAATCTGGGTGGGCACAATCTAATCAGCTATCAGCACGGGTGGAATGAAGCAGATAGAAGAACATGGAAGGGCTAGACTGGCTCAGTCTTCTGGCCTTCATCTTTTTCCTGTGCTGGATGCTTCCTGCCCTTGAACATCAGACTCCAAATTCTTCAGCTTTTGGACTCTTGGACTTATACCAGTGGTTTGCCAGGGGCTCTCAGGTCTTTGGCCACAGACGGAAGACTGCACTGTTGGCTTCTCTACTTTTGAGGTTTTGGGTCTCCGACTGGCTTCCTGACTCCTCAGCTTGCAGACGGCCTATTGTGGGACTTCACCTTGTGATCGTGAGTCAATTTTCCTAAGAACTCCCCTTCATATATTCATCTTTCCTATTAGTTCTGTCCCTTTAGAAAGCCCTGACTAATACAATACCCTTAATTCTATCTGCAAAGGCCCTGTCACTATGCATGGTGGGTAGCATGCATGTTCCAGGAGTTAGGGTGTGGCCATCTTTGGGGCCACTATCTGACTACCACTATTAATCTCCATTGACACAGAAAGCTGTCGGGATTCAAACTCACACAACTATCAGACACATACAAAACCCCTTAGATCAAATAAAGGTGATTGGGAACTAACATGTAACTTCCCCAGAACATGAGCACAGAACAGTGCAGCTAGAAATGCCTGAAAGATATACTCTAGCTTGAAAGAAAGAACAGAAAACAGAAAAGTTGGTGTTTGTTCACATATACCATGGGTAAGCTTTGAGCTGCTGATGACATGAGAGAAGAAGAGAAAACAGAAATGAGGCAATATGTGTCTTTTTCCTTTGGAGCAAGCTCCTTGGACATATAAGGCCTTTGCTTTGAAGCTGTGTTTTAGAGATAACCATGAAAATAAAAATATACACTCACTAGAAAACTAGAAGTTTAAACTAGCTTCCAAGCCATAAAGGAAAAGCAAACATAGACATACAGAGACAACACAAATAGACAAAAAAAAAATTTCCAGAAATAAAGCAACTAGAAAATATAAGGGAAGGAAAACTGCCTTCACAAGAATAACTCTAATCATGAAATAACTAAGAGTTCACTTAGTGAACAATAAAGGAAATTATGAAAACTACAGTATTCTCCCTAGAGCCACAGAGAAAGCTCTCCCTGCACACAGAGACCTACGTTATCCTCGGCTGAGAGTGTTCTGGTTTGCAGCCGTGAGGAGAAAAGGCGGAAACACAGCGAGGTATAGAATGGGCAGAGGAAGCTTTGGAGGGGAAAACATTCCAGCTTCATCCCTTGGATTCCCTGATCGAAAGGCCTGTTTGATGTTTTTAATAATATCAGTCTCCAGTTACTCCACATCACGTGGTTTGGGCAGAGCCTGCATAATTGTTTCCTTAAGCATCACCTGATGTAAAGTAGCCCACACCTTCGTGTTTGTGAAGACTTCATGTATGAATTCCATAAGAATTTCACCCTCAAGAAACAGGAATAATTTCTAAAAACCCTCCTGATGCCTACTCCGGTCCTTATCATGTTGATTTGCCGATATTTAAACCCTAGTATTCTAAATTATTTGCTGTGGAACTACTAGAAATTCATAGAAATTATTTTCCATTTTATAGGAACTTCTGCCCTACTGTTAGCTCCATTTTTAATCAGCCCAAGTACTGTAGAATTATAGAAAAGGATGACTGACTAACTTGATTTGTCTTTTTTTTAATTTTTTTTAATGTTCCTCATATGAACTTCATTTTCATCAAATCTCAGTTTCATCAATTCTAAATACAGTTGTATATTTTAGTTTTCTCCTTCTTAGGTAAATATAACCAAAACAATAATTGATCATTTTAAATGACAAATCTTTTGTGACTTCATATTTAGAAATTAAACATGTTCTGCAATTTATAATGAAAAACGTTAACTGTAGGTATTAATAGTATCTGAAAAATATGTTTAACAATAAAAATATGCAAGAAATCATTTTTAATCTTTTTGTAATTTGGAATTTTTCCATATCTGCTTTATCATTTACTGTTTTTAAATATGAATAAATTAAATTAGTTGTGAAGTATTAACTCCCTTAGTATTTAAATTTCTCTCTAGCTGTGTAGATATAATCAAGTGGTCAAATTGTGGCATCCTTTTTCAGATATTTTTTATTATGTTAATGATTTATTAAACCTGTTCGACTCTTCATCTCGTCTGGAGAGAGCCCCACAGGCACAGGTCATAAAGGAGGGTCAATCATCAAAGCTTTTGTAACATTGGGAAATAAAGGGAAGTTAGAAGTGAGAGAACAAATGTCAGTTCCTGGGAAAAGTCAGGAGGTGGGCCCTGGTGGCAGGAGTCATTCTCAGCTGAGTGCCCCAGGCCTGCTCCTCGAGCCTTCCATTTCCCTGGCAGAAGAGGAGGTCTTCAGACCCTTCACAGCCGCCACTGAATATGTGAAATGTGAATGAAATAAAATCAAAACTGTCCTCCAGTATTGAATCCCACATGACTGAACTCACCCTGTGATTCTTGGCTTCCTAAGAGTTTTGTCAATGAGCCCGTGTTCTTTTCTGTACAGTAGAGGAGTATGTTAAAGCTGCTCAGGTAGGTCATATCTCTAGACCGTTTTCACTCCAGGAGAGTGGCAAGGCAGTTCACCAGGGCTGAGAGCCTGAGTCCAGGTGTGCTTCCAGGCTCTGGGAAGCAACGCTAAAAGGGGGAAGCCGTCCTTGTTGAGGAAGGGATGCATTCTCCCATACAGCCCTTACAGGGCTCTTCCTTCCTCACTGGGGCTGGATGACCAGCGTGGTCGAGGCCGGCAGGCCTTTCTCCTGGGCGTAGGAGGAGGACCCTAGGACACCCTCAACTCCACTTGCTCTTTTCTTTCTTTTCTTGCTTGTTTTCTTCTTTCTTTGTTTCTTTCTTTCCTTCTTTCTTTCCTTCTTTCTCTTTTTCTTTCTTTCCTTCCCTTTCTTATTTTTTTAATTTTACTTTAGGTGCATACTATATCTGGCATTTCTCCCCATGTTATCCCTCCCCACACTCCCCACCCTCCCCCTCCCCATCCCCCACTGTCTCTCCCCTACCACCCCCAACTGCCCCCAGTGTGTGATGCTCCTCTCCCTGAGTCCACGTGTTCTCATTGTTCAATATCCACCTATGAGAGAGAACATGTGGTGTTTGATTTTCTGTTCTTGTGTCAGTTTGCTGAGAATGATGGTTTCCAGATTCATTCATGTCCCTACAAAGGACATGAACTCAACATTTTTCATGGCTGCATAATATCCCATGGTGTATATGTACCACATTTTCTTTGTCCAGTCTATCATCGATGGGCATTTGGGTTGGTTCCAGGTCTTTGCTATTGTACACAGGGCTGCACTGAACATACGTGTGCATGTGTCTTTATAGTAGAACGATTTATAGTTCTTTAGGCATTTTTCTTTTCTTTTCTCTTTTCTACTTTTCTTTTTTCTTTTCTTTCTGAGGAACACTATGTTTACTAGTAAAACTTTGTACCCCCATCACCAGGAATGGCGTGGAGTCACAGCAGCAAGCCCACACAGGTGACCCCCACAGAGCCTCACATGGCAAAGAGGATGAGGAAGGTGACCATTAAACAGAAGAGCCCCGTGGCCTCAGACAGGGCAAAGCCCAGAATGGCACAGGAGAAGAGCTGCTGCTTGAGAGATGGGTTTCTGGCACAGCCAGTGATCAAGCTGCCAAACACCTTTCGAATCCCAGGCCCTGAACCAGCCACACCAACGGCGGCTGCGCCAGCGCCAATAAACTTCGCTACTGTGTCAATGTCCCGGGAGACAACATGGGTCTGGAACACTCGTCTGGCCACCTGGAGCAGGGAGCTGCTGTAGAAACGCTGTTGAGATGAATTCTCTGGGCTATTCAAGAAGGAGGCGGCCACAGGTCTGATGAGACCCTGGTATAACAGCAGGCCAGAGCTGGAGAAATGAGTGCTGCCCAGGGTCTGCATTCATTCAGTCTCCCAGCTTCAGCCCTGGGTGTCAGCGCTCCGGCTCTTTTCTTCTGTTTACTTTATTGGGACTTTTTGCAGCATGGAGGAAGATGGACATGAAGCTTCAGAACAATACGGTTGAAACACTGGTTGTGAGAGTCTTTGTTCAAACAGTTTTTTGGAGGAGTGGGGACGTGGGTGTCTAACCAAGCCATGGGGGCTTAAATTCAGATGTGAAAAAAGAATGACTCTTTCTCAAAGAAAAATCACAGCTACATGTCCAGACAGGTGGGCCCATTGACTTAGAGCAGCGGTCAAGAAGGTAGAACAGCTACAGCACCCAGGTCATAATCCACGTCAGAAAGGAAAACAAACTGTGTGGCCTGAAGCTGGCAGCGAGAGCAAGCGTCTCAGGACCCTGGACTGCTACTGATCACTCGACTCAACAGACATCAGCGCAAGTCGTATGTAAGAAACCAAGAGCGCTGTTAGAAGCAAATGACTGCTTAGAGGAACAGGGGAAGGAAATGCCATGAAGAAGGAATGGGTCTGTGGGGGGAACTAGGGGAGGGACAGCAGGGGGTGGGGAGTTGGGGAGGGATAACATGGGGAGAAATGCC